GGGGGGGAAAGGAATAAGCATTTGTTTTTTTCTTGAGGGTTTCAAAACAATTTTAAAATTTTTTTTCCCCAAATAAAATTTTTTTAAAAATTTTTTTTTTTTTTTATTTATTTTTTTAAAATGGAAGGTGAAATTGAACCACACAATATTAATTGGAAAAATGAATTTTTAAAATTTGATAAAGAAATTAAACAAGTTTTAAATGGAAATGATGAAACAATATTAATAAACTTATTTCACATTGGATCAACATCAATTGGTAATGGATTAAAATCAAAACCAATTATAGATATGTTATTAGTTGTATCCGATATTAATAAATTGGATGATCAAAAAGTTAAAGAATCATTTGGAAAAATTGGTTTTGAATGTATGGGTGAATTTGGTATAATAAATAGAAGGTATCTAAGAAAGTCAAATGATCGGGGTATTAGAATATGTCAAATTCATTCATTTCAATTTGATATATCACTTTATGATATAGAAAGACACTTAGCATTTAGAGACTACTTAATTTCTAATCCATCTTTATGTAAAGAGTATAGTGAATTAAAAGAAAATCTTATCCAAAGTTCAAAAGATAACATTGATGATTACTGTAATGGGAAAGATTATTGGATTAAAAAGATTGAAAAAGAATCATTAATTTGGTTTTTAAAAAATAAAAAATAAAATTATCATTAATAAATTAAAATTTTTCAATTTTTCTTCATTTTATAAAAACAAATTAACAAAAAAAAAAATTTAGTTTTTGAAAAAAAATTATTTTTATTTAATATCTTTAGAGTAGTACTATAGAAATTAATGATAAAATAATAAGAGGTGAATATTTGAGGGCAAAAGCATTTGAACCACTATCTTTGCTACTATCTTCACTTGACTCAATATTAACTACTGGAAGGTCAGTTGTTGAATCTTGAGGTGTTTCAGTATTACTTGAATCTTGGTTATTTGGATTGTTTGTTGTAGTTGAACCACTATTACTACGAGAATTAGTATTGCTAGAGTCATTTTCTGCATTACTTTCTGAATCACCATTTTTATCGGAACTACTGTTTATTGAAGAATCTTGGTTTGATTCATGTGAACTTTGATCATTTGAAGAATCTTGAGTACTTTCTGATTGAACTTCTTCTGATGATCCATGGCTATTAAAAGAATTTGAATCACTATTACTTACATCTCCAGATGATGTTTCAGTTGGTGGTTGTGTAGCAGGAGTTTCAGTAGGTGGTTGTGTAGTTGGGGCCTCAGTTGGTGGCTGTGTAGTTGGGGCCTCAGTTGGTGGCTGTGTAGTTGGAGCTTCAGTAGGTGGCTGTGTAGTTGGAGCTTCAGTAGGTGGCTGTGTAGTTGGGGCCTCAGTAGGTGGTTGTGTAGTTGGGGCCTCGGTAGGTGGTTGTGTAGTTGGGGCCTCGGTAGGTGGTTGTGTAGTTGGGGCCTCAGTTGGTGGTTGTGTAGTTGGGGCCTCAGTAGGTGGTTGTGTAGTTGGGGCCTCAGTAGGTGGTTGTGTAGTTGGAGCCTCAGTTGGTGGTTGTGTAGTTGGAGCCTCAGTTGGTGGTTGTGTAGTTGGGGCCTCAGTAGGTGGTTGTGTAGTTGGGGCCTCTGTTGGGACTACGGTTGGTGGCTCTGTGGTTGGGGCCTCTGTTGGATTTATTGTGTCACCAGCTACCCATCCAGCACATGATGAACTTTTAGATACTTGGAAATATCCAGTTTCAGGCATTTTATAAACATTTGATGATGTTTGTGCAGAAAAGTAATATTTTGCACAGCTTTCAACAGAAGGTAATGTTGTAATAAAAGCTCCTTTGGATGAAGTACCATATACTACTGGCAAATTATGACTTGTGCCATCTTCAAAAACTAATGAAAATTTGCTGACACTTTCGGTATTACTATAAAAGATAGCAATAAACTGAGTACTTGTTGATGGATAAAAAGTATGATAAGCTGAATAAATTGGATTGTTAATGTTGTTACAATTACCACCATGGAAATCCTATTAAAAATTAAAAAATGTTAAATAAAATAATAAAAATAGTAAAGTTTTAAAAATTCACATACCTGGGTTAAATAATCGGAATATTGACCACCTGATTGTTCTACCCAACCAACACCCAAAGTTTTAAATGAATCAGACATAATATTAACTCTATGGCCATCATTTCCACTATTATCTGCAGCACACTGACCATTTACTTCGTCGCAAACTAAAAGATTAGTAGCATCGAATGGGTTAGCACCAGCTGCAATATTTTCACCAGATGATTGACCAGAGCAGGTAATATACGAATCAAATCTTGTCCATATTGATGTTCCATCACAAGAGTCATGCTTAAAGCATCTATTGGTGGCCATATCTTGTGAATGAGATCTTGCTAATTGATTTAGTGTATAGTCATAATATACTGGTGGTACAGCTTGACCATATTTTGAAAATACATTATTTAAACCATTATAACCAGTCATATAATTTGCTTTATATTCCAATGGAAACAAACGAATTAAATTAACTATTTTAAATAAAAAAAAAAATTAATATTAATTTTTAAAAAAAGGAAAAATATTTATAAATAAGGAAAAAAAATATTTAAAAAAAAAATAAAAAAAATAAAAAAAAAAATAAAAAAAATTAAATACTTACTTAGATTAAAGTTTTCCCTTTCCTTTGCATTTGGATAACCATTTAGAGATTCACCATAACCATTAGTATGGTAAAATTGATTAAATATCAAAATTGATAAAATTAAACAAAATAATATTTTCATTTTTTTTTTTGTAAATCTGATAATTAATCGTTAAGATATACGAAATTTAGATATAAAATTTAAAAAAGATGTTACACAATAATAATTTCCTTTCAGTTTTAAAAAATTAAACAAATAAAATATTATTTGTTTTGAAAATAAATTAAAAGAATAAACACAAAAAACTATTATTTAAATGAAGAGATGAAAAATAAAAATAAAAAAAAAATGAAAAAAAAAACTATTTTTATAATGAAAATTTAAAGGTATTTTATAAAAAATAAAATAAATTAAATTAAATATATTAATATATTTTTAAAAAACTAAAAATCTAAGATTTATTTCCATTATTTTATTTTTTTTTTATTTTTATTTTTATTAAAAATTTTTTTTTTTTTTTTTTTTTTTTTTTTTTTTTTTTTTTTTTTTTTGGTCGTTTTGATATTTAGTAATTTAAATAAATTAAAAAAAAAATAAAAAAAATATTTTATAAACGGTTTCTATTAATTTTATATTATTATAAATAAAAAGGAGTTTAATAAATACAAAAGTTTATTATTACAATTTAGAAGTTTTAAAAAAATTTAAAGTTAAATTTTAAATAAAAAAGATTGATAAAATTAAAGAGATTATTAAAGTGACAGATAAAGTTAATTTGGATGAAGCATTATAAATTTCATTTTCGGACCATGATTCACAACTTGAGTTTGTAGCTAATCTAAGGAAACCTTCATCTGGATAACGAACAATATTTTTATTGACATCTAATGCTTCAAAATAAAATGGAGCACAAAATTCGAATTCTACATTATCCTTAGTTAAAATGGCATTATTATTGTTACCATAATGAATATCCATGGTATGTGAGGCACCATTAAATACTAATGAAACTGATTGGAATGCGACGGTACTATTTGAATATGCTGCAATAAAACGTGGGGTTTTAGCATCGACCATGGTATAAAAAGCTGAATAAATTGGTGAATAAGTATCCTCACAAACACCTGATGAAAAATCCTGTTAAAAAAAAAATGTTAAAACCATCTTTTTATATTTTTGTTAAATTTAAAATAAAAATCAAAAATACATACTTGGGTGTAATAATGACGATAAGTACTATCTTGATTATAAAAATAACCAGATCCAACTGAAGCATATGATTTACTCATAATATTTCTACGATGACCATCACTAGATTATAATTTTAAAATGTTAGTTTAAAGAGTATATAAATGAAAATTATATTTTAATTTGAAATATTTACTTATCATCTCCATCTGGTACACATGCACCGTTCTTTGAATCACAAAGAAAAGCGGTCATACTGCCCAATGGGGAATTGTTACCAGCACTGATATTTTCACCCCATGCACCTCCGCATGCCTATTTATATTTTAAAAAAAAAAAATGTTAGTTTGGAATCTAAAGATCTAAATATAATTTAATTTATTATTTACTTCATATTCTTTAAAACGATCCCAAATATTTTCATTATTACAGCTATTATGTTGGAAACAATTATTAACGGCCATATCTCTACTATGTGCTCTAGCAACTTTGGTTAATGAAAAATCATGACGGAGTGGAGTAGTTGCGTCATATTTAGAAAAAATTAAATCCATACCAGTTCTATTTTGTGGTAATAAATACTCTTTTTTAAATTCTTGTGGGAACATTCTAACCATGTTTAATAAAACAAAAGTTTCTCTTTCGTTTGAACTGGGATAACCTATAGTATAATTATAATTAATGTCAAGTTTTTATTTTTATTTTTATTTTTATTAAAATTTTATTACCATTTACTGTTTCACCATATGCATCAATATGTGCAAATTGATTAAAAATTAAAAAAGAAACTAATAATGAATATAATATTTTCATTTTGTGTAAATAAAAAGCAATAGTGTTTTAAAAAATAAAATAAAATAAAAAAAATAAAAAATCTATTTATGATTTTTTTTTTTTTAATTTTTTCATTTTTTTTTTTTTTATTTTTTATTTTGAGGATAATTGTTTTTTTTTTATAATAAAATCAACCACCAAAAAATTTTAAATGGGTTTAATAGGTTTTTTAAATGGGTTTTTACCACAATTATTTTGATCATTAATATTCGCAACTTGAAGCTGGTTATGAAAAATATCAAATTTTTGTATAAAAACATTATTGAAAAAAAAAAAATCTAATTAAATAACTTTACAAAAATTAAAAATTGTTTTATTGTAATTTTTTTTTTTTTTTCGCATTTTGTTATTTATTATAAGATAACAAAGGTTATAAAAAATTTAATGGTCATAGCCAAAAAAATAATTCCATTTCATTTTGATTATAAAAATTGGAAAACTTATGATGGTTTTAAAAGAAAAAAAAAAAAAAATCTTTTTGAAATAATTTTTAAAAAACTAAAAAATTAAAAAAAAAAAAAATAATTGGGTGGTTTATAATCATAAAAATAGCTTTATTGTAAATTTTTATTTTTAAACATTATAGAGTTTTTTTTGTTGTAATTATACATTAATAAAATAAATAGTTTTTTTTTTTAATAGAAAATAAATTTTCTATTAAATTTTTACAAAAATAAATAAAATACAGATAATAACAAAAATAATAAAGTTGTTGATTGTTGAATTAGCGATAATGAGTTGTTTGTTTGATTTTCAATATCATTGTAAACAATATTTTCTTCTGCCATGAGATTATTGATGGCTGAGGAGGCGGTAGTACTACTAGTCCATGAATTGCAAGTTGTATCCTTACTTATTTGTAATGAGCCAGTATCTGGGTATCTATAGGTAGCACCACTTGTAGTTGTAGTTGTGAAGTAGTATTTAGCACATACGGTGAATGATGTTGGTGTGTAAGTGTAAACTGCAAAAGTATCATTTCCATAGGCTCTGGTCATTGAAACAGTTGAACCACCAACAAAAACCAATGACATTGTAGATGTTGACAAAGTTTTACTGTAAAAATTTACAATGAATTGTGGATTTGTAGATGGAAAAAAGGTATGGTAGCCAGAGTAAATTGGACCAGTTGGGTTATTACATGTACCACCAGTTAAGTCTTGGGTCCAATAATGTTTGTAGGTTGAGGTTGAAGTGTAATAATAACCAACACCAGCAACTTTATAGTTAGCATTCATAAGGTTTTTACGGTGACCATCATATCCACTTCCATCCGCTGAACAGGCATTACCAGATGTGGCATCACAGATTAATAAATTATTGGCAGCAATACCTGTTGAAGAACCAGCAGCAATGTTTTCACCCCAACCACTTCCTGTACATGAAGTCCATCTACTGAAACGGGCACTAGTACTTGAACCATTAACGCAATCATTGTGTGAGAAGCAGTTATTTGTGGACATATCATAAGAGTGGGCTTTAGACATACGATTTAAAGTGTTGTTTAAATAAATTGGAGTTGTTGGTTTATATGTGGTAAACATTAAATTTAAATTTGTGTATCCAGTCATATAAGTGTTTGCATATTGGGTTGGAAACATTCTTACTAACTATAATATAAAAGAAAAAAAAATTTAAATTAATATTTTGAATTTATATTAAAAAATATTTTTAAATTACATTGATAAGATTGAATGATTCTCTTTCATAGTGATTTGGGTTGTTTTGTGAATCTGATTCACCATAACCAAAAACTAATAAATAGTTTATTGATAAAGTTATTAAAATATGTAGTAATTTCATTTTATTATTATTTTTGTTATTAATGATTTTAAAAAAGAAATTTTAAATTTTAATTTATATTTTTTTTTTTTTTGTTTTTTTCTTTTCTTTTTTTTTTTTTATAAATTATTTTATTATAATAAAATTTCTTTGTGAAATATCGGCCTACAAAACAATTATAATAATTTTAAAAGTTTTTTTTTTTACTTTTTAATATATCAATTAACGATTTATAAAAAGTAAAAAATTTTTTTTTTTTTTTAATTTTAAAATTATTTTTTTTAACTTGATATTGGTTTGATTTTGGAAATATTCAAATAATTGAACTAGTAAAATTCCACTTTTTAAAATATTTTTCTTTTTTTAAAATTAATAAACAAAACTGTTCAAATAATAAACCATATCTTTTGTATTTTATAATAATATATTTAAAAATTTAACTTATCTTTGGTAATTAAAACTAACTGCAAAGATAATAGTCTCAATTTTTATTTTTTTTTATCAAAAAAATCTTTTCTCTTAAAAAAAAATCAAACAATTCCCTCAATTTGGTGCATTGAAGATTTTAATATTAAAAAATTTTATATTATATTTTTTTAAAAAAACAAATAAAAACACTATTATTGTTTAAATTTGTCAATTATAAAATTTGAATATCATATGATCAATATTTAATTTGGAAATGAGATGGTGTAACACACATTATTTTTATATTTTTTTTGATTAATCTCCTTTCTATAGAAATTATCTTTTTTTAAAAAAAATGTGGGGTTTTATTTATAATTTAAAAATATTTGTTTTTTCCCTTTTTTATAAATTTATATTATCTTTTTTTTTTTTTTTAATTATTTTTTATTTTTTTCATTTTTTTTTTTTAAATTTTTTTTTAATTTTTTCAATATAATATTTTTTTTTTAAAATTTTAATTTTTTATTTCACACTAAACCCTCTTTGTACAATTTATTATTATAATTTTAAAAATATAGTAATACATTTACTTAGATTTAGTTGTGATCTCTTTTTTTTTTTTTTTTTTTTTTTTTATTTCAATTTTTACTTTTTATTAGATTTTTATAAATTTTAATAATAGAAACAAAAAAACTAAACACCTACAATAACTCCACCCAATAACAGCAATAAATATGTCAACTAATATATATCATATCTTGGATGACCTTGTTAAAATGGTAGTTCGTGCATTTTATCAAGATGACCATGCAGTTGTTATAGATGGTCTATTAAGAGAAAAGAAACGGTAGGTTTATAATTTAATAAATAACTAATTAAAATTTTATATTTTACTTATATAAATTTTTCAAAAATAGTATTAAAGATGAAGATTTAGCAAGAAAGTTAAGAATTAATCAAAAGCATGTTAGAAAACTATTAATGGAGTTAAAAGGTGACTCTATGGTCAAATCTATGGATGTTAAAATTGAAGCAAAGGGACCACATGAACGTGGTCAAACAGTTTTATTATGGTATATTGATTATAAATTAATTATTGATATTGTTAAATATAAATTTTATATGATCAGAAAGAAAATGGAATCAATTAAACTTCAAAAGATTGATATACCAACTTATAGATGCGTTCAATGTAATACATCGTAAAGTATCAAATTATAATAATAATAATAATAATAATAATAATAATAATAATAATAATTATAATTATAATAACTATAAACAATATAATTAAAAATATAACTAATCTTTTACATAATAGATTTACAGCTTTAGATGTACCAAAACTTTTATCAATGGAAACAGGTGCTTTAGAGTGTGATGTTTGTAGTGGTTCAATTGAAGAAGATCAAAACAATGAATCCCTAACTCAAACTGCTAAACATCAATCAGATTTATTGGGTCAATTAAAAAAAATTATAGATCAATTAAGAAAAACTGAAGGTGCAAATATTCCTTTGTATGTAAAATAAAATATTTAATATATAGTATTATTTATCATTCTAATATCTTTTTTTTTTTTTTTTTTATTCATTTTTAGATTTGCAAGAGATTTAGCTGATAATACAGCAGATCAAGGTCCATCTTATACTATTAATACAAATTCATCAGCAGGTGTTGGTCCAAAACCATCTGCATTCCCAGTGGCACAGAATTCACAAATGCCAAGTATTAATCCGACATCAGATAATGTTACTTTAGATATAGACATTCTTGATAGTGATAATATTGAAATTAATAAAACAACTGTTAAAGTCGATAAGTAAGTCTTTTATATAGGTACTACTATTGTTATTTCAATATTTATTTATTAATAATTTAAATTACTATAGTAGTAAGAAAACAGGTTTAGCATCATTACCACCTTGGTTATTACCAACTGCAAATAAAAGAAAAATATTACAACAACTATCAACTAATACACAATCAACAGTTTCAGAACAACCAACAGCTATCAGGGATCCATTAAAATTTGACTCTGAATTTTATATAAATTATATTAAAAATCATTATAAAGAATGGGAAAGTTCACAAGAAGAAAAAGAAATACTATCAAACCCACCATCGCCAAGTGAAGAACATATAGATAAAAAAATTAAAATAAATAATTTTAATGGTAATAATAATAATAATAATGACAATAATAATTTAGATGATATTTTAATTAAAGTTGGTGAACAATATAAATCAATTACTGATGTAACTGAAGATGACCAAGAAGTAATGTCCTCTCAAGAATATGAAGACTATAGTAGTGCACTATATTCCTATGTTTCAAAAAATGTTTTTGATAATGCAAACTCCTTAATGTCCTAATAATAAAATATAAAAAAAATTGTAAATAAAATCCAATATTTAAAAATATATATTTTTAGATCAAATATACACAAAATAATTTTATTTATTTTTTTGTATTTAATTCTTTTTTTTTCTACCTTTTGCAGGAGCCCTAGTTGGTTTTTTAATCTCCTCTTCAGACTCTTCAGATTCATTGTTGGATTCTTCAGATTCATCTTCGGATGATGAAATTTGTTTTTTCTTTTTACTTTTTGTCTTTTTCTTTTCTTTTTCTTTTTCTTTTTCTTTTCCTTTTTTACTACTTTTTTTTTCTTTTTCTTTTTTACTAGTGCCTGCTTTCTTTTTTGATTTAGTTTCAACTATTTTTTCTTCCTCTTCTTCTTCCTCTTCTTCTTCCTCTTGCTTTTTTTCTTGTTCATCCACTTCATTATCTATATTTTCAAACTTTTCGTCTTTATCTTGTGGTGGTTCTTCCTCTTCGTCTTCATCTTTTTTACTTTTAGCAATTTCATCAATTTGGTTAAACGCATCTTCAACACCTTCGCCTTCTTCATAATTGTTACTATTTAAATATTCTTCATTCATTTGATCGTTTTCTTCTTCGTCTTCTTCATTACCTGCATCTTGTCCAGTCCACCATTCAATCATACCCAAACCAGAATCTTTAACTGAAACTTTTAAAATTAATGGTGACTTTACTTGTTGTAATAATCTTTCATTCTCTGCTTGTCTTTCTTTGTATTCTCTTAATGTATATGAGTCCATACTATCTGTATTTAAATTTTTTGGTGCTGGTGCTGGTTGTGAAACTTCTGGATTAAATTCTATTTGTTCAACTCTAAATCTAACTCTACCACCATTTTCAAAAAATAATTGATTATCATTCCATTCCCAATACCAAAGTTTTTCTTCATCAGAACTTTATATAATAAAAATAATAATTATTAATAATGATATTCTATTATTTAAATTATTATTATTATTATTATTATTATTATTATTGCTATTACTATTATTTTTATTATAATAATAATAATAATATTATTTAAAATTTATTATTTTTACATACAAACTTGAAGGTATTGGTAATTCGATTGGATTTAAATAAATTTCATCATAAAAACCAATAGTAATTTGTACTTGATCTTTTGTTGATTTTTTGATAACACCCTCCATTATTTCGCCTTTGAATGGTTTAAAAACGACCATTCTAAATCTAACCATTAAATGTGCAGCACCATCACCTGAATATACATATGAATCACCTGTACCCAATATATCATATAACGCTATAAATAATCCGCCATCTAATACAACTTTACTAACATATTTCTTTTCAATTTCATCCTCTATAGTTTGTACTTCGTTATTGAAATCATTTGGTGGAATTCTAACTCTATCTTCGATTGTTAATAAATGAAACATTTCAAACTATTTCGCTTAATTATTATTATTACTGTTATTACTATTATTATTATTATTATTATTTTCAATTATATAAATTATAAAACAATAATAAAAATTTTAAAACAGTTAAAATATTTAAAAAACAAATAAAATTCAAAAAAATTCAAAATTTTTCAAATTTTTTCAAAAATTTTTTTTATAATTTTTTTTTTTTTTTAAAAAATTTACTTTAGAGATATAAAATTTATTTTTTTTAATTATTGAACCACCCATTTTTTATCTAAATCAACACTTCTATCTGGTGCTGGACTATCGATTGGGATTTCCATTGAATGGTCAATTTTACCAATATTATTATTATTATTATTATGATTATAATTATTATGATTATTATTATTACTTGTGTGATATCTACTATTTAATACATTTGCATTGTTATTAATATTTATTGTTGTTGGTAAGTTACTATGACGGGTATAAGAGTGGTCTCCCGGTTGTCTAAAATATGAAACTACAATCTATTTTTAAAAGTTATAAAAAATAAAATTAGTATTTTTTTTTTTTTTTTTTTTTTTTATAAAAAAGTAAATTTACATAATAATCAGTGGCAGTACTACTAGTGGGACTATTATGTTCACTATGTTTGTTATGGTTGTGGTTGCTTTTGGTTTTTTCTCTTAATGAAAAAATAATTCCTTTTCTTTTACAAATTTCATCATTATTTATTTGAAAGAGGATAGCATTTAAGTCTTCTCTTATTTTTCTATAATATTTTTTGTATACCACTTTATGTGTAATAAAACAACCAAGCATTATTGGAATACCAATGAAAAATGCAAAAGTAAATACTCCTAAATAATAAGTCCCCTAAAGAAGAAAAAAATAAATATTAATAAAAAATAATTTAATAAAAATAATAAATAATAAACATCTTACCTTTAGTATTGGTGTATTTTTTCTACGAGATGTTCTATTTAAATTTTGAATTATTTGGTCAAATTCTTGAGGATCCAATATTTGTCTTAAACTTGTGGGATAGTCTCTCATAAAACCATTGAATGTTGCTTTCGAATAAGACTTATATTGACTAGGCTCTGGTCTTATTTCAATTGATGTTCTTTCCATTTTTATTTAATTTTTTTTATAAATATATACAAATATATAAAAAAATATTATAACTTTATTACTTTTTATAAAAAGAAAAGTGTAAAAATAAAGATTAAAAAATAAAAAATGCTTTTCATAGTTATAAAAACACAATAAATAAAAACAGATCTAGATCTATTATAATTTAAAGTTATTTTAATTTTTTTTTTTTATTATTTATTATTTTTAATATTTTTTATTTCCTTTTTTATAAAAATTTAATTTAATTTAAATAAAATATTTAAATTAAAATTAAATTTTATTTAGTATTTTTAGATTTATTTTTTAATTTTTTTTTTTTAAATTTAAAAAACAGGGTGTTGAAAATGCAAAATAAAATGTTATAACTAAAAATTAATTAATCTTGAGAGAATGTAGAAATTGTTATCAATCAAATATTTAAGCAATAATGAATTTGTGTTTATAATTTTTTTTTTTTTTTTTTTCGATAAATTATAAAATTTTTTTTTTTAATTTATTTTTAATTTTTTTTTAAAATTTTATTATTTTTTAATTTTTATATATTTAATAAAAAAAAAAAATTAAAATATGATAAATAATAATAAAAATAAAAATAATAATAATAATAATAATAATAATAATAATAATAATAATATTAATATTAATAATAATAAAAATAATAGTAAATTAATACAGTTTAAAGAAGTTGAAAATGGTGTATCTAGACAAATAACATTTACGACATTTGATTGGAAGCAATCACTACCAGCCTATCCAATACCACCATTTGGTCTTAAGGTTCATCCATTAGCAATCATTGTTGGTTGGATAAAAGCAAATCCTAAACATTTAAATAAATATTTAAAATTATATTTAGATAATGGATTTGTAACAATTTCATTTTCACCATCATATGTATGCCAGTAAGTAAAATTTGTAGTTTTATTATTTGTATATAGTATATATAATTATGTTTTATTAACATTTTTAATATTTTAGCTTTTTTCCAAAGAAAATGAAAGAGTTAGCATTTAATTTTTTAGAATATTTATTAAAAGAAAATGAAAAAATACAGAGACCAATTATATTTCAAGTTTTTTCAGGTAATATGGTATTTCAAAGTGAAGTTTTTAAGTTATTAAACGAAGAAAATGTAATTATTCTCATTTCTTTTATTAAATAATAATATTAAATAATAATAATAATAATAATAAAGATATTCATATTAATATTATTTATTTCATAGAAATTTAAAAAACTTATTCCATTTATTAAAGGTCAGGTTTTCGATAGTTGCCCATCAAAAATTAGTGAAGAATTAGCATATATTTCATTAAGCAAAACAATGAAAAGATCAATTTCAAAAAAAGCAGTTAGATTGGTAACCAAAAGCTATGCAAAATTATTAGATGTCGAAAAGATTGATAGAGACTTTTGGGATCGTCTAAAGAAATGTCCAATATCAACACCACAATTGTATATATATAGTATTAATGACCCAGTTTCATCTTATTTTGACGTCGAAAGAGGAATCATTATAATGAAAAAACAAAGTATTCCTGTAAAAACACTTTGTTTTGATAATTCAGTCCATGTAAATCATCTAACTCAGCACCCAATGAGATATATGAAAAATTTATATCAATTTTGGGAAAAAACTTTAAAACAACAACAGCAATCCATTATAGACCAAAAATCAAATTTTAAATTTGGTGATGTAATAAATAAATTTGTTTCAAAATTATAAAAAAAAACATTAATTTTTTTTTTTTATAAATATTCTTTTTTTATATATTTATTTATTTTTAATTTTATAAATTTTTTTTTTTTTAAAATAAAATTATTTTTTTAAAAAAAAAAAACATTTGAGATAAGTAATGCTTATTTTTAAAATACCTTGAGAAAATAAATAAATTTTTCTTATATCTCAAAAAATTTTGTGATGGTTATGAATTCCTTCAAAACTCAAAAAAAAAAAAAAAAAAAAACGAAAAAAAAAAAAAAAAACTGAAAAAAACTGAAGGGGAAAATTTTTTTTTTTTTTTTACATAAAAATTTTTGGGTAGGCAAATACATATGTAAAAATTTTTTTTTTTAACTATTTTATTAAAAATTCAATGGCCCCGATGTTATTATTTCTAATTTCGGGAATAACAAATAATTAAAAAGGCCCCTATACCCTATATCAAAATATTTTGATAATATTTCAAAAATAAAAAGTTCCTTAAGGTTTAGAATTATATCTTAAAGAATTGCTTGGCATTATCAATTGGTATACTAATTTGTTTTTCCGAGCCATTTACGACCACTGTGGTTGCACTCATATGATTTTAATGAATTCTATTTTATTGCTATTATCAAGTCTATTATTAAAATAACTTTTAAAAATATCTTTTGCCAAAGGTGAAACAATGTCTTAAAATTCTTGGAGTATCTACAGTTTTTTTTCAATAATTTTTATATAATTATTCATTGTAACCCATTTAATTATTTCTAATCACTAAACTACAACTGTACATACCATTGATTCATATTATCTATTTAACAGTTTTATTAAATTTTTAAGAAAAATAAAATATTTTTAAATTATCAAAAACCACAATTGGATCTATTTTGTGATATAAATTTAAACGCCATCAAATAAATTTTTTCTCTTTTCCTTTTAAGTTACCCAGTATGATTGTTTACTTTATATCTTAAAGTATTGCTTGTCATTGAAAATCTTTTAATTCAAGCAAGTACTTTTCTGACAATTATCCTGATTGATTTTTGAATTATATCTTGTTGTTTTTTATTTTGATGTTTTTTTAATGGTAGTTTATGGTTTGAAATAACAAACTAGCATACCAATTAATAAAGATATTAGAAATTTATTTTATAGTTGTAAATCAGCTTTAACCTTATTGGTTTATTGTTGTCCAAAAAGTGGAAAGGTATTACAGATTGGCTTTCCTTCAGGTGATTGTAAAATGATATTGTGTTATTGAAGTAGGTGGTAAAAATAAGATATTAAACAACAAAATAAAATTCAAAATGTATTTTCTAAAATTAAAAGATTTTCGACAAGCAATATTTTAAGATATAAATTTAAACAGGAAATACCTTAGATAATGTTTTAAAAAGATATCATACAATATAATGTAAGTTGTATTTTTCGTTAATTGTTATTTAGGGATTAGAAATAATAACATTGATGTTACAATGAATAATAATATTAAAATTATTAAAAAAAAAAATTTAATATTCAAAAAAAAATTAAAAAAAAACCAAGGGGTGTTTGGAGGCGTTTTTTTAAAAAAAAAAAAAGAAATGAAAATTTTTTTTTTATGCGCATCACTTTTTTTTTATATATAAAAAAAAAAAAAAAAAATTTCATTTCTTAATTTTTTTTTGCCGAGACACCCCCTTGAAAAAAACCCCAAAATAAACAATTTATTCAATCATTAAAAAATAATATGAAAAAAAAAAAAAAAAAAAAAAAAAGTTTTTTACAATTTTTTTCAGGTTTTTTTTTTTTTTAGTTTTTTTTTTTTTTTTTTTTTTTTTTTTGAATTTTGGGAATACTTTAGTCAGTAAGCCAAATCACCAAAACCACAACAACATTAGCAAAAATATTTATATGTTTTTAATTATTTAAAATTTTTTTTTTTTTTTTCGTCGTAAAAAAATAAGGGTGGAAATTCATTTTTTTTGTTTACAATTATCTTTTTTTTATTTATTTTTTTTCTATTTTTATAAAATTTTTTTTATTTATTTTTATTTAAATAAAATATTCTTAAATAAAAAATGTTAAATAAAAAAAAAATAATTATAATTGTTTCAATTATAATCGTTATAATATATATTTTAACTACTTTTGAAATGATTGAAAGGGATAATTTTAAATATAGAAAATATGGAATTAATTTTACAAATAGTCCATTCCATAATAAAAATGATAACTATGACCAAACATTGGTGAAATTGGAAAAATTAAGATTTTTACAAAAAGAAGGATATATTAACGAAGAGGAATTCGTTGCAAGAAAAACTCAAATTTTAGATCAATTTACTCAAACTACTTTGCCACCAGTTAAATCTTATGCCCATATAGTTGGAAACAGTGACCAACCAGCCAAAAATAACAGAACCGGTTTTATATATCCAAAAGTGATAGAGTATTATGAAGAGTTTTATAATCAATATGGTCATATAGAAAATAAAACTCATTATATATTACAAAAACCATCGAATATTACAATTGATATCATGATTCCATTCCCATCTTTTCGTGTTAATAGAACTTTACAAGGTATAGAAAGATGGAGCCTCCCAAATAAAATTCCATGTGATAGTTTTACAGTTTCAGATTTATTTCCTGGTGCTAAATCAAATTTGGTATTTTATCAAAATCGTGATCAAAATTTTTTAACTGAACAAAGGTTTCTTAATGCTGTTAATTCCGCTCCATGGAGAAAATGCTTTAATGATGTAAAATTTGCTTATGCTAATATTCCTCAACATGAAGATAGCTACCCATCCGGTGTATCAAAAATGTAATTTCCATTATTATATAATTTTATTTCGTTTTTTTTAAAATTTTTCATACTAAATTTTTATACAATAGGTTTTATAAATATTTTGACTATAATATTGGGCCACCAAGTGATTTTTTCTTTTGGCTCGAAAGTGATGTTAATCCTTTAAAAAAAGATTGGCTAATTGAATTATTTCGTGTGACAATTACAATGTTAGAAGCCCGTCAAAATAAACCATTTTATTCACTGGGAAGCAATGCACGTCATTATATCAATAAACCAGGTGAAACTAGAGCATCACAAGTATATCATATTAATGGAAATGCTTTGTATTGGAGAGATAAATCATGGTATGATAGTTTTTTGGTTAAAGTTGAAAATTGGTCTAGAAAAACTAATTTTTTTGATTGTGATATTACTTATTATATGGAAGTTAATGAAAATTGGAATAGTGTTAAGGAAATAGCACAAGAATTTATTTTTTACGAATTTATTCAAAATCTAGGTAACTATTATTCAAAATTATTTAAATTTATGACAAACCAATTTACTAATATTGTTATTTTTAACTATAATATAGGCCATGATTCTTACAATGAAATAGAGTTCTCAATTAAAAATCCAAGAACCTATTTGGTGCACTCTTAAAAAAAAAAAAATGTAATTGCGAAATATATAATAATTATTATATAATAAAAAAAGGATGTAAATAATAGTAATATTTCAAAAATAAAAAAAAATGTAAAATTTAAAGAATAAATAAAAATTATAAATATAATTATAAAGTAAACTATTATAATTTATTTATTTAAAAAATAATAAATAAAATTTTATTTTTATTTATTTATTTCAATGAAAACGTTGCAAGAACATGTTTGTGTTAAAACTACACCAAAAATATTTTTTTTTTTTAATTTTTTTTTTTTTTTTTTTTTATACAAAATCATTTTGTGTGAGTGTTCTTGATCACCAATAAATAAAGTTATTTTTACACACATATTTTTTTAAAAGTGAAAAATACACCCACAATTTTTTTATTTATTTAATGATAAATTTAATTAAATTTCAATTTTTTTTTTTATATTATTTTTTTTTTTAAAGTTAAAATTATTAATTTTCCCCTATTATAAATGATATAAATAATAATAAATTTTCTACATTAAAATTTTTATAAATGATAAATGTGAAATAATAATGATTTGTAAAAAACTAATTATAAAATTAATATCAATAGTTATTTTTTTATATATATTTTATTTTATATATTTTAATAGGATAATTATAAAAGAAAGGAATAGATCAATAAGAGAGAAAGAAAATGAAGAAATTAGTAGGATTAATAATTATAATAGATTAAATTTAGAAATTAAAAACATTACAATCGATATACTTATACCTTTTGCAGAAAATCAAGTTGATAAAGTTTTAGAGTCAATAGAAAGATGGGGCCACCCCAATAAACTTCCATGCGATAATATATATGTTCAAGACTATTTTAGATTTTCAAAATCAAATTTAGTTTTTTATCAAAATTTCGGTATAAACAAAAATAATGAAAATAAAATTTTAGAAAAAGTTAAAAATCAATTATGGAGGAAATGCTTTAATAAAATTTTATTTAAATATGCAAATAATACCATAGAAGAAGACAAGTATCCAAAAGGTGTATCAAAAATGTATTATTAATATTTTACAAATTTTAAAAATTTATTTTTACTAATAAAATTTTTATATTTTTATTTTATAAATAGGTTTTATAAATATTTTAAAATTGTAGATAAATCAACAGATTACTTTTTTTGGTATGAAAATGTTTTAATTTTTTTCTAAAAATATGTATAAATTTACTCACCCACCTTTATAAATTATTTTTTATAATAGGTTTGAATCAGATGTTAATCCAATTAAAAAAAATTGTAAATTTAAAATCCAAAAAAAAAAAAAAAAATAATATTAATTTATAAATATTAAATAATATAGGGTTAATAGAAATATTTAGAGTTGTAGTTACAACACTTCAAGCACGTCGAAATCAACCATTTTATGTAATGGGAAGCAATCATAGAATACCCGGTACACGTGATGATCAAAGAGCATTTCATAGTATGCATATAAATGGAAACGCAATTTATTATAGCAAAGAATGGTATAAAAACCTTTTATTTAAAATTGAAAATTGGGATAAAGGTTTTGGGGTTTTCGATTTAGATATTTTTTATTATTTAACAGAATCTGAAAATTGGGGAGAAGTTGCAAAAATATTGCAGGTAATTTTTTTTTTTTAAAAAAAGTAAAAATAAGTACTTATTTTTTATCAATTTTTTTTTTTTAAAAAATTATTAGGAATTTATCCACTATGAAATTATTCAAAATTTAGGTAAATATAAAAAAACATAACCCAATATATTAATTTAGTAATAATTTTTAATTTTTAATTTTTTTTTTTTTTTTTTTTTGATCAAACAGGACATAGAGAATATAATGCAGAAGAGTTTTCAAAAGAAAATCCAAGGACCTATTTAGTTCATTCCTAATCAAAATGGATAATTATGGAATTTAATTAATCAATTAATCAATAATATGAAAAATAATTCTCTTAAAAAGAAAATCTTTTATTATAATAAAATTATATTTTTTTTCATTTTTTTTAAAAAAATTTTTTTAAATTTTTTTTTATTATTTTATAAAAAAATTTTTAATTTTTTTAATTTTTTTTTATTTTTTATTATTTTTTTATTTTTTTTTTTTTAATTAAAAAATTATTTGTAACATCAAAAGAATTATATATTGTACTTTTCCAATTATTTATTTATTTATTAACCCACCACCACCACAAAACACCTCAATTCTCAAATTTATATATTTATTTTAAATATTTTACTTTTTTTCATTTATAGAATAATATCATAAAAATAATAAAATAAATCTATAAATCTTTCAAAAATGAGTGTTAGTGTTTCAAATCCAAATATTGCTAAAACCTCAATGAGAGGTTTAACCAATTTTATATCAGATTTAAGAAATGGTAAAATTATTAGTTTATAAAATATATAAAATTAAAAGTTTATTTATATTAACATTGTTTATAAAAGCATCAAATAAAGAAAATGAAGAAAAAAGAGTTACAAAAGAAATGGCTCATATTAGAAAAGAATTTAAAGAAAATAAAAATATTGATGGTTATCAAAGAAGAAAATATGTTTGTAAATTAGTTTATATGTATATGCTTGGTTATGAATTAGATTTTGGTCATATGGAAGCTGTAACTTTACTTTCATCAACAAAATTCTCAGAGAAACAAATTGTAAAATATTAAATTTAAAAAACAAAAAATAATAATAATAATAAATAATAATATAATTTTAACAATTAATTTTTATTTATATTTTAGGGTTATATTGCACTTGGTATTTTATTAAATGAACAACATGAAATGTTACCATTAATTATTAATTCATTTAAAGAGGATTTATTAGCACGTAGTGAATATTTCCAATCATTAGCATTAGCTGCAATTTGTAATATAGGTGGTAAAGAAATAGCTGAATTTCTAGCTCCATTAATTCAAAAATTAATCATTGCAAAGTAATTATTATTTTTTTTATTTTTACATTATAATAAAGATAATAGTTTAATTAATAGTTTTTTTTTTTAAAATTATTTCAGCACAACAACACCAATGGTTAAAAAGAGATGTGCATTAGCAATTTTAAGAATGAATCGTAAACATGTTGGTTCAGTTACACCAGATTCATGGGTTGAGCGTTTAGTTTCAGTTTTAGATGAACCTGATTTTGGTGTTTTAAATTCATTAATGAGTTTACTCATTGAGTTGGCATCCGAAAATCCAACAGGTTGGGAACCAGCTATTCCAAAGGTTATTCATTTATTAAAAAAAGTAATATTATTTATGTTTTTTTTATTTATTTTTAAATACTAATTTTTTTTTTTTTAGATTGTTATTAATAAAGAATTTCCAAAAGAATATGTTTATTATCATATTGCATGTCCATGGTTACAAGTTAAATTATTAAAATTCCTTATATTTTTCCCAGCACCAGATGATTCACAAGGTGGTAAGGTCTTGACTGAAATTTTAGCTGCAATTTTTTCACAATCCGAATCAGCAAAAGCTGGTACTGTTAATCATAAAAATTCATTAAATGCTGTTCTTTTTGAAGCTATTAATTTAATTATTCATCTTGACAAGTAAGTAAAATTTTTTTTTTTTTTATATTAAAATTACCCATTATTTATATATGTATTAATTTTTTTTTTTTAGTGATCCAGCTTTATTAAAACAAACTTCATTATTATTAGGTCGTTTCATAACTGTCAAAGAAACAAATATTAGATATTTAGGTTTAGAAGCAATGTCACATTTTGCTTCTTTATCAAACGAAACATCGATTATGATCAAAAAATATCAAGACACAGTATTATGTAAATATATTTTTTAAATTTTATTTATTTTCATTATAAAATATTTTATTAATATAAATAATTTTTTTTTATAAAGTATCATTAAAAGATTCAGATATCAGTATTCGTAGAAGAGCTTTAGATTTACTATATGGAATGTGTGATAAAAATACATGTAAACATATTGTTGCTGAATTATTATCATATTTACAAACTGCAGATTATGCGATTAGAGAAGAGTTGGTTATAAAGATTGCAAATTTAGCAGAGAAATTTGCATCAAATTATTCGTGGTATGTTGATGTTATTCTTCAATTAATTACAACCGCTGGTGATTTTGTTGGTGATGATATTTGGTTCAGAGTTGTAAAGATTGTTACCAACCACGAAGATATTCAAGCATATGCTGCCAGTACAGTATTTAATGCACTCCAATCAAGAAATTGTCACGAAACTCTTATAAAGGTTGGTGGTTATATTTTAGGTGAGTTTGGTCATTTAATTGCCGATAACAACAACTCATCTCCAATCATCCAATTTAATACTTTACATAGCAAGTTTAATACTTGTAGCCCACAAACTAAAGCTCTCTTATTGTCCACCTATGCTAAATTTGTAAATTTATTCCCAGAGCTTACCCAACCAACCCAAGATGTTTTCAAACAACATCAATCCTATATCGATGCTGAAATTCAACAAAGAGCTTGTGAATATTTAAATCTAACTTCATTAAATGAAGAATTAATGCAAACTGTACTTGATGTCATTCCAGCTTTTAATGATCCAAATAATACTTCAAATAAAGATCAACAACAACAACAACAAATACCACAACAACAACAAAATGGGTCAACTATTAATAGTCAAGATTCTAAAATTAGTTCAGGTGGCTATACTCCACCACAACAAACTCAACCAAATAATGGTTTGGATTTATTAGATCCATTTGGTTTAGGTTTAGGTCAAGGTCAAGGTCAACAACCATATCCACAACAAGCTCAATATCAACAACCACAATCATTACAACCACAACAATATGATTCATCACCACAAGATCAAAATATTTTTACAACCAACTCACCACCAGTATCAGCAGGATCACCAATTTCATCAGGTGGTGCAGCTGATCCAATGCAAGTTAAAATTTTAGCATCCTACAAAAGACTTTGCCTTGGATCAGAAGGTGTTCTCTTTGAGGATAATATGTTACAGGTTGGTTTGAAATCAGAGTATCAAGGTGGTCAAGGTAGAATCATGTTATACTATGGTAATAGTTCAGCTTTCCCATTAACTAATTTCAATGTTACATTTAACTCTATTAGTGGTATTCAATTACAACCACAATCAATTGCCCCAATAATTCAACCAAAGGCTCAAATCCAACAACCTGTCACTTTTTCATGCACTAGCGAATTTACTGAATCTCCAACTATTGTCATCAACTTTTTAACACCAGGTAAACCAATCACAATTAATCTTCGTCTCCCAATTATTATAAGTAAATTCTTTGAACCTCTTCGTCTCTCAAGTGGTGACTTTTTTGGTCGTTGGAAGACAATCTCTGGTAAACCATTAGAAACTCAAGAGGTTTTCAAATCCAGTAAACCAATCGATATTAATTCATATAATAGAGTTTTACAAGATGGTTTGAATATTACAGTCCTTAAACAGGTAGATCCAAATCCAAACAATATCGTAGCATCTTGCCTCTTCCCATTCAGTTCCAATGGTCAACCAATTTCAACATATGTTAGAATTGAAACGAATCCACAAGCAAATATGTGTCGTTTAACAATTAGATCTCAATCTGCTACTCTTACAAATACAGTTAAAAATTTATTAATTTCTCATTTACAATAAAAATAAAAAAATTAAATATAAAAATTTTTCTTAATCTTTTTAATTTTTTTTTGGGTCGATTTAAAATTTTTTTACACGAAAAGGTATTAAAAATTTTTTTTTTGTTATAGATAAAACAATTGAATAATTTTAATTTTAAAATATATCCAAATTTTCAAAGCCAGAAAAACCAAAAATATAAAAAAAATTGTAATTTGATTTCAATAAAATTTCATACTAGAAAATATTTTTAATAACATTTTATTTGGGAGTAAAAATAATGATTGATCTATATAAAGTGTGGCGAACAAATAAAAGGATAGATTATTATTTTAATTTAGATAATCTTATAAACTTATAAATAATAAAACTTAATATCTATTTAAATTTAAGTTACTTATTTTAAAAAGACTTAAAAATAAGTTTTTAAATTAAATTTAATTTTTTTTTAAATGAAAAAAAATAAAAATTTTTATTTTTTTTAAATATTTTAATTTTTTTTTTTTCCTTTCAATTTACCATTTTTTTTTTTTTTTTTTTCATCCCAAGCTTTTTTATATAACATACAAACAAATAAATAAAATAGAAATAAAATCAAATAATAAATAATATTAAATAAATTGTAAATTGGATTAATTAAAGTTTTTATTTTTTTTATTTTTTTTATTTTTTTTATTTTTTTACATAAAATATTTCAGAGATGGATAAACCATCTAAATCAGAATTAAATAACCCAACCATAGCAACTACTGGTGATAATAAAAATGTAATTAATAAACAAGAGTCTTCTTCTGATTCAAAAAGAATTTCCTCAATTATAAATAATAATAATAATAATAATAATAATAATAATAATAAAAATAATATTAATAAAGAAGACATTAAACAAGTAGTTATGACCGCATTTGCAATTCATAACCAAAATACCTCTTTTCGTGATCCAATAAAACAAGAATCATCAGATACAGCCAAAATACTAAAAAATATTGAGGTTTCAGATAAAAACACCTTGAACACATCTCTATCATCTCCGCCACCTCAATCATCACCATCACCATCACCATCACTATCACTATCACTATCACCATCACCATCACCATCACCACCACCACCACCATCAAATAATGATATCCCAATCATATATTCAAATATTTTTATGGATTTGGTCCAATATACATATAATATCAATCTAAAAAGTAATGAATACTTTTCAAACTATGAAAAATTTTCGCAAGGTGCCTTTAGAGGAATAGTTAATAAAGTAAATAGCCTATTTAAAGGTTCTCGAGAATCTTCATTTAAAGAAATGGTTGATGAAGGTTGGTTAAGTGATCATAAGAGTTCAAATGAGTACTTAAAGGATAAGGAATGTCATTCAAAATATCCCCAAAGAAGTACATGGTATTATATTTTAAATTTTAGGTAAGTAAATATTTTTTTTAAAATTAATTAACATAAGTTTATACTTATAATATCTTTTTAACTTAGAGAAATTATCAACAAAAAAGAGAATAAAGAAAAAATGATTCAAACTTTTATTAATCTTAAAGAAAATTTAATTAAAAATCAAACATCGCTTTGTTTTAAATTTGGTAATAAAGAATCAGTTCAAACATGTTATTCAAATTTCATTGATTTCATCGAAACAAATGAAGATTTATTGATGTTTTTTTTCTTTTCCTGGCCAGAAATTGTCAAAAAAGATTTTGGTTTTATATTTGAAATTTTCAAAAATTTAGATTCCAAGAATAAAATAATATACTTGCAATATTATTCATTTTCAAGTGACATTTCACAAACATTTGTTCTCAATGAATTTTTATTTAGACATATGAAGAATAAAGATGTAATTATAGTTTTTATTTTGTTAATTAGGTTTTATAAAGTTCATTTGTATTAATAATTTTTTTAAAAAAATTTAGCAAAAGGAATCAATTTTTTTATACAAATTATTTTTTGATTTTTTATCATTTTCAAGAGAAGATATAGTTTCTTCTTTTTTAAAAGATGTCATTTCTGATCTTCATAAACCAATCCCCAGTTTTTTGAGAGTATTGTTTCTAGTTTTTGGTTGCAAAAATATACCAGGACTCACTTTAAAGAAAAAAAAAGATATAGAACTTTTCAAAGAACTCTTCAATAATCAAAATGATTACTATATGACTTTAAAATCAAGTAGTTATAACAAGATTATATTTTTTGACTTTTCATTTTTTAAAGATCCCATAGAATTTTTAGAGTAATTAATATAAAAAACCATTTATTAATTTATTTATTTATAATATTTATAATATTAATTTCAAACTATTTTTAAAAATTTAGAATGTTAAAAAATAAGCCAAGTTTATTAATTGAAAATCAAAATCAACTGGAAGTTTATTTAAAAGAACTCATTAACATTAATGATAGTCAAGATATTATTGCAGAGATATTTCTATTGGAAGGTGAAGCAACCAAGGTGTGCCAAAAAAAAATATCAGAGTTTATTAACAGAAATTTAAAATCCTTTGCCAAGTATTCATTAGTTATGCCTGAAGAGCCTTCATTTAATTATGTCATGGATAGTTATATGAGTGTCTCAAACAATATTACAGAAATTATGACCATTGAAAACCAATTAATTATCAAACAGGAAAAAACAAAGAAATTTTTTGAAAAGTACTATCAATTTTGCCAATTTGTTCTAAAACATTCAAATGGTCAAAATTTAATATTTAACTCATTTCCAAAAGTCCTTAAAAAAACATTATTATACTCATTATTGGCCCAATCGTTTTTAGAAAATATCCTTAATCAACTTTCAAGGGAAAATATTGACAATCATTCATTATCTCTTTTGAAAGATATTATTGTGGATTCTAATTGGAAAGAGCTTCAAAATGAAAATGAAAATTTAAAAAAAAATGTAAGTCATTTTTAATAATAGTAGTCTTTCATATATAAATTAATATATTAATATATATTTTTTTTTAAATAGATCAAAAATTGTTTAATTAAACTTTCAGATGCCAATGCCAATACAATAGATATGAAACAAAGTTTAAGCAATTATATTATAATTGAAAAAGTTTTAAAAGAGGTTTACGAAACCAAAATAAAATCACCATATTATTTAAAAAAGGAAGCTGACAAATATTCCAATGATCTCGAAGCTTTAAAAAAAATAGAATTATATCTTTTACGTACATTTAATTTTCCAAAGCTAGAGCCCCCAGAAGGTTTATATTTAAAAGATAAATTAGATCTATACAAAAACCATATTTGTACTACAAAAGTACCGGGATACAAAGAGCCACTCAGTCAGGATTCAATTGATTCAATTTTCTATTTTGATAGTCAGTCTTCACAATTTTTTAAAATAGTATTCAGCCATTTTAAAGATATTGATAAAAGTGTTAATTTAAATCAAATATGCAAAGAAAGTTTATCATTTTTAGAATATCTAATGAAAATGGATACAAACAAATTAAAGTTAAATTGTGAAATGTTTAAGAAATTATCAAGTAATGAAATTGATATCACCAAGGAAATTAAAATCTTTTCACAATGGTTCAAATTAGAAAATCTCCAACCTACCAAATTACAGAAATTTATTCAAGAAACCATCTCAATTTTTGGTATTCAAACAAATAATGAAATGTTATTCAACTTTTTCGATAAATTTCAATTCATCAATATTACCGATTTACTAGAAGCTCAGGACTCAATCGAGAGAGATCTTCAATTTATAAAAAACAGTTCTGAAGTCAAATATGAGGATACAATTAACATTAGAAAAAAAATTGAAGGCGCCATTGGTGGTCTAAACTATAGTCATATCCCATTTTTTGACATTATCAACAATGAATTAATTGAATTCTATTCATCCTTCAAAGATTCAAACGATTTCAGAGAAAGAAATAGAATGATTTCAACTAATTTAACAGACACTCTCAGCTCAAATCTTATTGATTATGCCGTATTAATCCACGGGGTTGTTTCTCAAATTGTAGAAGATCACAAGAGATTTAAAGAATTTGAAGCCAATGGCACCAAAACTCAGAGCTACACTTTTGGTCAATATTGTGCTCTAATGTACCAACTATTAAGAACTCATGATATGGAAGATATCAACAAAAAGATTAGATTTTTACAAGACAGCTTGCCACAATTAAAAGCATTATACAGCGGTGCCACTATTAGCACTTTTCTTCCAACTCTTAGTAAGATTCTGATAGAGTCAGAATTTAGATCAACAATGTCATCATCTAGTTCATCATGGCTAATTAAAGTTGATGGTGTAGAATATAACAGGGAAACATTGGATGATTATTTAAGAGGTTTAACATTGGCTAAAATTAATGAAAACCAACGTGGTTGTGTAGAAGAGTTCCAAACTTTTTATGAATTATTAAATTCAATTCACGATAGCCACATAACACTTATCAAGATGTTCCACAATGATTATTTAGAAAAAAGAATTTCTTTTCCAATTGGTCGTGATCATATAGATAGTATAATGGATCTTTCAAAGAAATTAAAAAATGATATTAGTAAATGGACAGATTTAATCAATTCTTTTTCACCAAGAGTTAGACTGTTAAGAAATCAAGGTATCTCTTCATTAATTACCAAATTAAATTCAATAGATCAAGACTCTCCGACAGAGGAATTAGTAAAATTGGTTTATCCATCTATCAAATTTTGTTACTCAAAGAATGCAGTAAATGTAGATTATGAAATGGTTAAAAGGGTAATCTCAGAGAATGAAGAAACCAAAGTACTCAATAGGGAACTTACAACAAGAGATTTTATAAGCACATTATTTGATTTGTTCGATAAAGAACTAGTAGATTATGACGATTTAGAAGACGAACAAAACGAAAGTGGACCAATATTTTACCATATCGAAAATAAAGAAACATTAGATCTTTGTATCACTCAAATGAATGATTTGGTTTTCCCACATCCCAATCAAATATTTTATGGCAATAAATTTACTTTTGAAGCAAATGATTTCTTTTATTTATTAGAAAACCTCAAAGATAGAAATTTCTTTTTGGTTGGCTTACCATTTAAAAAAGATAGTTTATTGTCATGGTTCAGCGATCACTATTCAAATCAAACATTATCAAATTTATCAAGAGTCTACATTATCTCTTTTAATAGATCAGATAACTTTACCGAGTTTTTAAAATCATGGGAGGATCCAATCGAAGTCAAGTATGAACAATTAAAAGAAAGTTGGAATCAATCAAACTCAAAGAATGGATGCGAATCATTACATATTTTAAATGGTGAATTTGGTAGTGGTAAAACTTTGTATGTTGAAGAATTAAAGAAACAAAATATAAATTGTCTTTTCTATAGATTATCAGTTAGACCAAATACAAACTATATGGATTTCATACATTTTATTAAACAATCAACTCAAGATTCCTCAAAAGGTACCAAGAATATATTATTACACATCAATATCTCACCCTACAGCAATTATTTAGAGTTTTACACATTCATATATCCATTAGTAACATTTGGCTTCATCTTTAATGAATTCAATGGTGAAATTATTTGCATATCCGAATCATTAAATGTTTCAATTTATTTTGAAATTGGTACATCATTACCAGATTCGCAATATGGAAAGCCAAAAGACAATTTGTCACTACTCTATCATATTTCAAATGCAATTAAATACGAAATTCCATGGTCCTATAGAAAAGAAGAAATCAAATGTATATCTTATTCTCAAACAACTGCCAATGGTTTATTCTTCAATAAGAAACCACAAATTACAGATCAACTTTATCAAACTTCACTAGATGACTACTATGGGCTCATAGAAAAAATTTATGGTGTACATATAAATTTTCTTAGAGATAATAGATTTAAACAGTATCAAAAGAACTTCTTTTTACTCTTAAATGAAAGATTGGAGTTTTTAGATAAATATTTAGATTATTATTGCTATACATCTCAAATGGGTATCAAACTCAAGACATCACCAGAAGAGTTATATCGTTTCTTTGTTATTGAAGCTGTAAAATTAGCTGATCCAAAACTCTGCTCAACTAAAAATATTTGGTCAGCACCTCCAATAGTCATCATTAGATCAATTTCGAATTTCATTGATGAAGTTAATAGAAATATAGAATTACCACAAGTTGAATTTGTTGATTTTAGAACCAAATCGGATTTACTTGATAAAGTAGAAACACTATTCACCATAGAAAAAGCTTCCACCAATACTCCAATGTTTTGTGCCGCTCTTTCTCAAAGTTTTCAAATTACTGATAGAACCTATATAGTTTCAAATTTAGCAAGACAATATGGTTATATTTTAACACCAGAATTTTCACTCAGATTATTAATTCTCCATGAAAAAATCAAAAATCAAAAAGCAATTATTTTAAATGGTGATACTGGTGTTGGTAAATCTTATATACTTTTATTCTATTCTTCAGTTATCAACGCAAGAATTAATGATTTACCAGACATTCTTTTTGACCTAAAGACTTTCTTTGATAATCTAATGAAAGAGTTTCCAACAGAATTTACTGAACATTTGTTCGATCCAGAAATTAGAGAAATTATTCAAGTTGCAAATAGAATTACAAAAATTTCACAAGAAGTTTCCAATCGACTATTTAATCAAATTTCAATTTTCATCACATCCAAAATTTTATCAAACCCATTAATTCAATTAGAAGAGGATTCTTTCCTCTATAAAATTAAAAACAATCAACAACTTATCAACACTTGGGAAATATTAGAACACTCACTCAAAGCAATAGGATCTCTTAAATTTAGATGTTTATTTTATAGATTAATAATGCACGAAAAATATGATAGTATACAATTAAAAGAAAAAATTAAAGAATTAGAGAAAAATGCTCTTGATATATTCAATATTAATAGCTCATTAAGAATGGTTGTATTTATTGATGAATTCAATACCGCCCCAGAAGACTCATTGGCCCTTATCACAGAACTCTTTATTGATGGTACTTTGGATGGGAAAGCATTAAAAGTTAATAATATATCATGGGTTGGTGCAATGAATCCAAAAATGAAATCTCAAAAGATATCTTTAGATTTTACTGGTCAAGAAACTTTATTCTCTGCTCAAGATTTCATTGTCAAAGATCCTCCAGCTAGTCTTCAACAATTATACTTTGATTTTGGTGAATTTAATGAAGTATCGGAACGTTCTTTCTTGGATGTACTTTTCAAAAGAAAAAAAGATTTACCACAAAAACAGTTAAATCAATTACAGGATTGTATTTTAATTGGTCAAAATCACCTTAGAACTATTAATCAATATCGTACTCATGTTTCAATTCGTGACATTATGCGTGCATTAGATCTTTATAAATTCTTTATGGAGGATCCATGTGGAAGTTCTTTAATTCAATGTGGTTCACTTAGAGATTTAAACTTTGAAGAAAAACATTGGGGTGCATTAATTTCATCAATGTACTTAACATATATACTAAGAATGGAAACTGGAAAAAACCGACAAACTATTTTAAATAGATTCAACGAATACTTAAAACAACAAGACCCAAATCAAAATATTTCAATGAGGGAAAAAGATCCATTCACTCTATTATTTAGAAATAAATATAAATCACTTTGCAGCAAATATATTAATTTGCCAAATGGTATTGCAAAAACAGAATCTTTAATGTTAAATATTTGGTGTTCGATTGTTTCAATCAATTCAAATATTCCTTTACTTATTGTAGGTCCACCAGGTTGCTCAAAAACCCTTTCATTCAGTTTGGTTTTAGAAAATATTAACTCTTCAATCCAAAAGAGTATCAAATACTCACCATTAGCACATATTCCAAATACAGAGCCATTTAGATATCAATGTACAGAGCATTCATCAGATATTGAAATCAAAACTAAATTTGATCAAGCCATTAATCGTGAAAAAGTTATGCATGCAGAAAAATATAAATGTGTTGTATTTATTGATGAAGCATCATTAATTAACGAAAACTTACAACCAATGAAGGTCCTCCATGACTATTTAGATAAAGTTGGTAATAAAACTGGAGAATCTAAAGATAATATCGGTATTATTATTTTATCAAATAAACTTTTAGATGCAGCCAAGACTAATCGTATGATGGTATTAATTCATCCAAATACCATGAGTGAAGATGATGAAAAAGCTTTGGTAAATGGTTGTCTTTATAATAACAAAGAAGAATTAACAGAAGAAGAAGAAAAAAGATGCGATGCCTTATGTAGAGCTTATAAAAGAGTTAACGAATTTTCCGTATCAACTAAAAAAAATCTATTCCATCAACGTGACTTTGTATTCTTTTTAAGATTCCTCAGACGTCAAATAGATATGGAAGGCAAACCCTTTAAAGAAGCATTATTAGAATCATTAGAAAGAAACTTCAAAGGTATTCCACATGACGATTTTAAGAATTTAGTAAAACTATTCTTTGAAGAAGTTGGCTTACCAACAATTGAATCGTTACCAGATAATACAATTCAAAATATTAAGAGCTCATTATCCGAAAAGATGCTAACCAACCAAAATCCAAGTACATTAACATTTAGATACACAATGGTCATTGATCCATCAGAAAATGAATCATCAATCTCTATTTTAAATGAAATTGGAATTAAATCTAAAATTGTTAGAGTAGGTGGATTTGAAAATGACCTTTCAGAAGAATCGCTCGTAGAATGTGTATCACAAATCAAATCCTCAATGGAAAATGGTGATACTGTTGTTTTAATCAATAGTGAAAAGATTGACTCTTGTTTCTATGAAGTTTTCAATCGATACTTTTCATTGATGCCATCCCACGATAATAAAGATAAAATGGATTTTATGGCTAATATTTCATTTGGTACCCATTCAATCTTTTGTAAAGTTCATCCAGATTTCAAAATTATTATTCATATGCCACTATCTAGGTTAAAGAATACTCAATTACCATGGTTAAATAGATTCGAAAAGTATTGTCTTTCAATTGATTTACTCACTCAAGAAGCTATTGAAAATAACGAATCATCGAAAGAACTCTTTGTTAATCTTTGTGAATATTCAAAACATTTTGTTAGTACCCTACACGAAAAAGCCTCCAAGAACTCTTTATTGGTGGGCTACTCACAAACTGAAACTAGTTCAAGTTTAATTTATCAATTTTTAAAATCACATCTAACTGGCTATAACAATGGTATGTTTAAAAGAAATAACGAAATTTTTGATCAACAAACATTATTCAACTTCAAAATTTTACAAATCGCTAAACCAGAGTCAATTATTCGTTGCTTTGACTCAATACCACAAAACTATTTATTAGAATATTTTATTAAACAAGAACATTTCAGCATAATTAGATTTTTAAAACAATTATTTAAATCAAGATATTCATTAAAAGAAAACCTTTCAAATAAATGGACAATTTTTACAAGATCATCACTTTCATTGTCTTCATTAAAAGATAGTGACTTATTAATTAAATTCTTTGAAGAGAATATAGAAATCTCAACTCAAAAATATAATAAAAAACATAATCAAGATGATTCTGAAGTTGAAATGGATGAAGATGAAGAATTTATAGAAATAGACTCAAATGATAGCGGTGATGAAATTAAAAAAGAATTTGAATCTTTAAATTTAAATCAAAACAATGTGGATATTATCAAAAAGAAATCAATAAAAATTATTCAACTAAACCATTTACAATCAAGTATAGAATGTTATAAAGAAATCGAATCATTCAAAAACTCTGACAAAATTGTATTAATTGTTATAGCCGATATGATCAATTGTAATCAAAATCAGTTAAATTATATTTTCGAGCTACTCACAAATTTAGATGAAAATAAAATGTTAATAACAATTTATCACTACCCACCAGAATTTTCATTATCAAACCAATTAAAACTAAATTCAATTTTCTTAAATAATATGGAATTTATTTACATAGACTCATTAGGTGTCAAGTTTGAAAAGGATCAAGATAAACTTTATGAAAGTACAATTGAAGAAGATATTAGAAATTGGATTGCTCATTCTTGTAATGTTAAAGAATTTGATTCATCTGGACAACTTTTAAATAATCACTATAAACCAGTTAGAGTAATCTTGAAAGAAATGTTCTTTAACCAACTTAAATCAATCGCCAAAGAAATTGTTTGCCATAACAGTCCCACAGTCCAATTAAGAGGTGGAGTAAGACAACAAAAACCTCATCCATTTTATTTAGATAGTAAAAAGAGACAAGATACTCTTTTGGAAATTTTCGAAAACAATCCACAATGGTATCAATCCATTATCGAAAACTTTTCAAATCATTGGTTAAATCAAAAGATATTCATTAGAATTCTTTTAAATATCTCTCAACGTATTCAAAATGGCAAAGAATCACATTCATTCATTGATGCCATTAAAAGCTCAATAACAAACTATCTTTATCCAGTTACCTCAAATATTATAAAAACAATTTGTAATTACAACTCCATACCAACTATTTTAGAAATTATTGAAAACTCTGTAAATGATAAAGAAAAGTACAACTTAATCAAAATTTTCATTAAAACATGTAAAATTTCATATTTATCAGAAATTGGAGTTGAAAGAAGATTAGAACCAATTCATTTAAATCAACCAAAAACTTCAACCAAATATCCATCACTGTTCCCATTATTTGACCAATTTGAATATCAATTCACTTTGATTTTTGATAATATTGTTTTAGAATCGGAAAAGAAGAACTCAAAACTTATCTTTGGTCAATTATACGAATATATTGTGGGTCACCCAATTCTAGATCTTATCATCTACATTTGTAAATCTGATCACTTATTTGAAGCCTTTAAACATGACTTTATATTTAGAAGCTTAGCAATTGGAATCGAACTAAAAGAAATATTCATCAAAATTATCGATCTATTATTACCATTTTCTTTAAAGACTCAAGATCGTATTCCAAATATCTCGGAAAAAGAATTTGAAAATCTTCAAAAAATTTTACAATACTGGATCATAAAGAATTATAAAATCGATACCATCAACTTTTTAAAAAATATTATTTCACCAATTTTAGAATTACCAGACAAAGAAACCACACTTTTTAAATGTTATCGAATTATAAAAGAATCAGAAAATATTGATATGGATAATTTAAAGAAAAATTTTACTTTATTAACAATCGAATTATTATGCAATCAAATATTTAATTTAACAAACGAAATTAATCAAAAAGATCAAATCAATGATAATATAGATTCAGTTAGATCATGGATTAAAACTATTAGAGATTTATTTAATAAGATTAGTATTGAACAACTATTCTCAACTATAGATAATAATAAAGAAATTCAAGATTTAATTTCATTTGTAAATTCCTGCTATCATATTTTAACTCAATACTTGGTCTTATCAAATGATTTAACAAATGAAAATAGAAATATAATTATTCAATCTTTAAATCTCTTTAAAACATCAAATCTTCACAAATTAATGATCAGCTTTGAATTATTAAATCAAGAACTATTTAAATCAGGTTGTAATGAACAATTATCAAGCTCAACAATATTAGAAATTATCAAGCCATTAATTATAATTGATGATGGAAATTTAGAATCATTTATTACAATAGCAAACAATGAAGATAAACAATTCATCAATATCTTACCACAATCATGGAGTTTAATTATCATTAAAGAACTAATAAAAGATGAAGACAAGAAAGATCTATACCTTTATAAAATTCTCAGTCAATTAGATAAATCACAACTAAAAACAATTCATAGCGGTCCAATTACATATTTCTCTCATAAAGAAACTAAAGAACTATTATTAGAAATAACTCCAAAGAGAATAAATGATACTGTGGGCCTTGCTATTAATCAACTGTATCCCAATGAACCTTTAGTTGATATTTTATATCATATAGCATTTGAAGAATATAGTCAAAGATCATTAAAAAACCCAATTAATAGCTTGATCACAGAGTTTAATATTTTATATAAGAAATTTAATAGATTCGATTTTGTTCCCGAAAATAATGATCAAATGGAAATTGACAATCAAATTAATGTTAATATTTACGAAAGAATTTCATTGGTAGCATTATCATGTGTATTCTTGGAACATTTAGTCTCATTGATCAATAATAAAGGCTTAGAAGAAACCTATAATACCATACATAAAAAAGATATTCAAAAAGTATACTCAACAATTTTAAATAATAACAATATAAGATCAAACTATCAATTGCTTCAAATTTCAATATACCACGTTTACTTGTTCACAAGAATTATTCAAGAGAAAACTTTATTAGACTTGTTCCAATCAAATGGTCTCTTGGAGGAACTTTCATTAAGTGCTTATAAAATCAATAACATAAATACTCAAGACCATTCATTCCACATGCCATTCATCTTTGATAACTATTATAAAGAAGAAAACGATTGTTTCTCTGATTGTAAATACTTTATTGAACATTCAAACTTACATGAATTCAAAAATATGGTTATAAACTGTGTATTACCAAAACACAAAGGTCTCGTAAGAATGGTTTTGTTCCTTCTCTCTTATTATTATATTTACCATGGAAGAACTGACAAATCATTTAAAAAACATAGCGAATTTATCCTTAATGAAATATTAGTTGATCAAGCAATTGTACAACAATTAAATCTTGCACCATACATGGAAACCTATCACAAAATTTTAAAACAAAATTTTAATCCACAAGTTTACTTAATAGATAATATTTTATTATCAAATAACAAAGATGAACAAAAAATTGCAAATTTAATTATCAACTCTATTTCAGTTTCAATTGGATCAGAGAATACACATTTATCTCTATTCACAAGATCCAAAATGCCAGGTGATACTATTGATCCTTTTATTCAAAATCTCTGTAAGCCATTTCCAGGTTGCCGTCAAAATACATTAGTGGATTGTCATGCCAAATATGAAACTTACCACGGCCAACAACTCGATCATTTTACAACAATATCATCTACATGGGGAATTATGGCATTTATTGCAACGATAAGACCATATGATTTCAACTTTTATAAAGGATTACATTTTATCAACTATCCATCTGATGCAGCCAATCCATCAAATTATATTTTAAATCGTTCGTTAGTTGCAATAACAGAGGTCGAACTAAATCCAGAACTAAAGGGATTACTTATTGACCATTCAATGTTCCTTTCAAACCAAATATTTTCAATTTGGAGAGAATCATTCAATAATAATCCCAGTTTTAATAATATATTTGGAAACCATGATGAAGTTAGAGCATATGAAGCTCAATTAAATAGAATATATACCAATACAAAGACAGAATTTAATTTAGTTAAAACCAGATACATGGAGAAATCTCTAGCAGAAAGCAAAATTGTTACCATTATTCATAAACTAAGAATAATCTACACAAATTATTTCTCATCATTAATACTTCCATTAGAATCAGTTCAGTTACTAATTACTAAAACTCCAACTGAAGAATATCTTACAATTAGAACATTTATAAATGAAATTGAAAAAATCTGTATATCAAGATACTTCTCAACACTTATTCAATTCCTCGACACATTTTATCAATTTACTTCAAATATTTTACCAGAAGAATATTTAAATTTATCAGTTGAAGACTGTATTAACTATCTCATTGAAAATCATTACGAAACCCAACAATCAATAACACCTCTCATAAATAAATTTGAAGACCTTATAAATGTATGGGAAATTATAATCGAAAACCTATCCATTGAACTTTGTCCAAGAGCTGCCCAATTCGAAGCTACAATTCCATCGATTCAAAAAGATACTCCATTAGCAACTATTATTTCAAGTGATCCAACATCAATTGGTTGTATTGTTAGAGTAATCGATAATTGGTTAGAAAAAACTCAAGGTAGAATTATTAATCTTACAACTACAGGAAAATTACCAGAAGAAATACTAAAACTTATAGAAAGTTTTGATATAAATAACAAGATTGATATCGCAGAAATTCCAATTGAAATAGGTAGTAATAATCTTTTAATAGGAGCCAACTATACACCAGATGAATTTTATGATTTCTATAAAACTCAACTTTCAAAATATTTCTCCCTTAACAAAAATGAATTTGAAAAATCAATTGATTGGTCCTCAATTCAAAACAATTTAGTATTAAACTATATTTATGGTAAAGTTATTTCGAATCAATTAAAAAGATATAAAACAGTATTTAAATTTAAAAAACAACATCAATATACTCAACAAGTTCAACCACAACAAGAACAAGATAAAGAAAAAATAATTAATAATATAGATAATAATTTAATTAAAATTGAAAGATTAGAACCAGAATTCATTAAAGAAATAAAAGAATTAGTTGAAAAAGTATTAACTTTACAAAACTTTAATGAACTTTTAGAAGAAAAAATTGAAATTAAACTTAGAACCAAATTTAAATCAAGATTAGATCAAGATCAATTAGAAATTATAGGTCGTTATATTTTACAAATTTTAATATCAATTTCAAAGAGTGAAAACTTTAATGTTATTAGAGAGAAATCATTACTTGAAATATCAGCATTCCTCTCAGATAAAAATTCTCAATTTATCAGTTTAGAAAACTCATTTAAAGAACATTTACCAGCAATTAAAGTATCAAGTATATTATCGTTGGCTGACCTATTCATCAATAGCTATTTAGGTTTCAGATACTATTACTCTTCCATCATCAAAGAACCAATTCAACCAAATAAAGATCATATTTGTAAATTTAAAACAATTTATGATTTAATTTTAGTTGATTGTGAAGTTGATAAAAAGAAACGTACAAACGAATGGATTCAATATTTATGTCAGTTTATTCAAATAGCATCATCTGAAAACTCTAAAAGAATTATTAAAGACTCTCAACCTGACTCTCCTCTATTATCTCTTTTAAATAGAGCTCAACTAAAAGATTTAGAATCCCCATCAACAAAAGTTGTACTCATCCAGCTAATTCCACCTGTTACACTTAACTACTATGCTACTTTAATGGGCACACTTCAAGAAACACTTTCAACACTTTACTTTAATATGGAAGAATTAGATAAAATTGATAATTCAATCGTTTTTAAAGAACTAACAAAAGAAGATTTACTCAAAACAAATAAAAGAAAGATTAATAGTAGAAGTATTACAAATAACATATTAAACATTAATGGTAAAGAAATTGATGATGAAAATTTAAAGATTAAAATATTAACAAGTCATAATGAAAATTACCTTACAAAAAATGTTGAGGTAAAGAGTAAAGACGAAGAGGATAATGAAGAAGATCCAACATTAATTAAAACATTATTAAAGAACAGCGATTCAAATGGAATTATATTTTTAACAAATCTCTTTGAATGGATTAGATTCCTTCCAGATAATTTGCTATCCTTCACTCAAATAGAAAACTCTCTTGCTCTCTATCCAATACTCAAAGAATTTTTAGATATTTCTTCAAAAAAACTAAAAGAACCATATGACATCAAAAAAATATATAAAGAATTTTTAAATGAAAGTAAATCACTTAGAAATGAATCTAACAAGTCAAATCCACTACCATCCAATATTTTAATTTCATTACTTTCTGTAATTGCAAATATTTCTCCAAAAGATTCTTTTGGAAAAATTTTTACTGGCACTTTGGAAATAGTTTGTGCCAAATGTAACCAACCAATTAAAAAGGAATTAACTCAATTTAATTTACAATTCAATATTAAATTAACTTCAAAACTTACTGAAACTGTTAAAACAACTCTTTTCAATTTAATCAATTCTACTGACGAGTAAGTTTCACACTATTTAATAATATTGTTTTAAAATAAATAATATTAACATTTGTATTTATATTTTTATAGTTGTAAAATATGCATGAAAACCATACCAACAAAATCAATATTAAAAGAAGCTCCAACCTATCTATTTGTTAATGTTGATAGATTAAAGAATAACGATCTCTCTTTCGATGAATTAGACTATCCATCTGAAATCTCAATAGATTCATTCTATAAAACTGATGTTTTATTTTATGAAATCGATTCAGTTATGGTAAATATATTTCTAAATATTCATTTTTAAAAAATATTTACTAACTTTCTTATTTTTTTTATTTCAGATGTCAAATGGTGAATATTCATCCTCTCATATTAATTATAATAATAATACCCTTAGAATCGAACCAAATAAAAAAATTAAAACTATAGAAAGAGAAGATTTTATCGAATTTGAAAAAAGAAACTCAATAATGATTATTTACAAAAAACAGCAAACCAATCAAAATAAATCTAATATTGACAGTGATACTAATAGAATGGAAGTTGTATATAATACAGGTAATTCAGCTTATAAAGAGAATATTACAACACTATTAGATAAACCCAAAAGAATAGATGCAGATAACTCCTCAAACATCTCTAAAAAAGAAATTATCGATAATATTGAACTAAACGAATCATTTGCAACATGGCTAAATGAACTTCAAATCAATTCTAAAGTACTTCAAATGATTTCCAAAGCTATAGAAGAAAACTTTATTACAAGCTTTGAAACTGCATTTAGTATAAAAGAAGATGAATGGAAGGATATTATTAAACCCTCTGGCCCAAGAGCTTTATTCCTAAAATATTTAGGAAACTTTAATTAAAATAAAATAGATATAAAATATTTTTTTAAATAGTTTTTTTTTATTTTTTTTATTTTTTTTATTTCTTTTTTAATAGCATATTTGTTCTATTGGAAAAACAGTACAAAATATATTTTTTAATGATGTTATTTTATTATTTCTTTGAGTGGCAAAATAAATATTGTGGTTGTTGATTGGAGATTTTGATGTTTGGGTTATAATTGGGGAATTTTCAGATCGTTGCTGTATAGACTGTGGTTGTATTTCTTTTGTTGTTGGTTGGTAGTTTTGAATATTATGAATGAAATTGTATTTTTTTAACAATGGTTCATCATCTGGGTTTATATTAGAAATTTTTTTATTTCCTATTGAGGGTTGTTCTTTTGCTTTATTTAAATTATTAATTTCGTTTGGGATATTGAAGCTATAATAATTTGGATATTGTATAAATTGTTGATTTTGAGAATTTGGGTTCATACCACCACTAGTCGAATCACTATTAGATTTTGAGACAAAAGGAGAAGAATGGCAAACAAAAGAACTAAATTTTTCATCATGGTTTTTTAATTTACATGAGGAAAACATTGATGAACCGATTCCCGCTTGATTGCTATTAAAGTAAGGTTGGAGAGTACTTTCATAAACTTTATTTTGATGCTGTACTCCTAAAACATTATTTGTGTAAGATTGAAAAAACGATGAAGAGGATGAAGATGATAATGGAGAAGCACCAGAAAAATAAATCGAAGGAGATGAAGAACAAGGATAGAAACTAAAATAAGGAGTTGGAGGGGCCATACTATCAAATGGATTAAAACCAGAAGTTGTAGTGTCAATTAAATTTGAAAAAGAAACTCTACTTGTATTATTATTATTATGAAGAGTAGAAGGAAGCATTAACATACTAAGAGTACCCATAAAAATTAATAAAGCAAAATAACTTGATCTTGAGAATTCTTTATTCGAGTAAATTGGAGGAAGATTCTTTAATACACCTTTTCTTTGCAATCGCATTACACAATAATGGAGATGGTGTGGTGATAGATTATAAACACGATGACAAATTGAACAATACCATTTATTACATTTTCCTATCCATTCACATAAACATTTTACATGTACATATGTTTGAGTACCTTTACAATCGCATGGCTTTACTAATCTATTTCCAATATTCTTTCTTTGTCTTTTACTTTGTGTAATTGGTATAAACTCTATGAAACCATCGCTGCTAATTCTTCCACTGCAACTGTCCAAACCTACACATTCATTATTTAAAGAGTTTTGGCTACAAATGTTTTCCTTCTTATCCTCCACTTCAACTTCTTCTAAACAAAATCTACATTCTATTAACATTTTGTTTTTTTTTATTTATTTCATGCAATTATTTATTATATTTTATTATAATGTAATGAGAAATTTTGGGTATAAACATAGAAAAATAATAATAATTTTATTTTTTTCGTTAAAAAAATAATAAAAAGTTTCTATATATTGATTCTACAAATTTTTTTGCTTTAACTATAATTTTACTAAACCCCTAAAAGAATTAATACAGTTAAAAAAAGTTAAATTGAATAATAATTATTGCAATTATATTGTATATTTAAGAGTTTATTTGTTATGTGTTTGTGTGTTTATAAATTTAAATTAAAATTTTTAAAAAATTAAATATAAAATTATTAAAAAATAATTTAAAAAAATAAAATAAATAAATAAAAAAAAAAATAAAAAAATGGTAGCTATAATTATAAAAAATTCTATATTTTTATATATTAATTTTTTATACATTAATTAAAAATATCTTTAAGAGTAACAAGGGTATATTTAATGTGGTGGGGTTTAAACTATTGTGTGGTGTGTGTTGGGTGAAAATTGGTAGCGGGATAAAAAATAATTTTGAAAAATATACAAAAATGTATATAATAAAAAAATTTTTAAAATAAAAGTGTTTTATTTTAATTAGAATAAAATCTTTTAAATATTTAATATTTTAAAAAACACGCATAAAGTATATATGGTAACAATAATATACCAGTGTTTTGTAGTAAACATAAACTAATATACAACATCGAGTGGG